TTCCTATATGGAGGAATTTCCCAGTACCTAGCAACATCTACAAAGTTACATATACATTTACCTTTGCCCTAGCAAACATACACTATCAAAATTATGTATGCACAGAATATTGTTTGCAGAACTATGTGTAACAGCAAATGAACGGAAACAACAGTCGATTGGTAAACCTGCCTGGTGGAGCATAAGCAGTTTAAAAAGAAATAAGGAGGGCCGAGCCCGTGGCGAGTACAGCGCTGGGAGTGCAGCAGCGCTCCCGCCGTGGGTTCGGATCCTATATAGGGATGACTGGTTCGCTCACAGCACTCACTGGCTGAGCGCGGTACGGCCGGTCTCAAAAAGGACAAAAAAAAAAAAGAAATAAGGAATATTTCTATCCCCATCACTAGGATAAATTTTTAAGTTAAAAAGAAAAAGGTGAAAAAAAGTATAAGTAATATGCTACAGTTTAATCAAAGGGTAGGGAGAAAGAAATATACGTACATAAATTCCAATAGCTTGTGTACATTTTTTTAAAAGGCAGAACCATAAAATTGAAAAAAATTTTTTTAAAGTTTTCCTATATTAGGAGGGAGATAAGAGAGTAGATGAGACAGAAATTAGACATATCCAAACATGGTTTCCTTTACAGATTTGGCTTTGGAAGCAATAGATTTTACAAAATTATAACAGGTAAATTTTTAAAAACTAAAAATCGAAAGAGAAATGAAACCAATGAACTTAAAAATATATATTAAACTGGTGGTTAAGACCACGTAAATTGAATTACAAATTTATAGGAAACACAAGGAACAGAGAAACATAAACCCACCCACCATGAGGATGCAATCGGCAATATCCAGAATGAGGAAAATTCTGCAAAGGATCCAGGTTCCCAAACAAATTGCAAGGAAAAAAGATGAGATGGAGATGGAACCTATATATTTAAAAAGTTTTAAAAGAGACATATGAACCTATTGAAATGTATGGACCTTATATGGCCCTACTCTGAACAATTTTTTTTTTTTAAATAACAATGAAAACAATCAGAAAAATCCAAGCACCGACTAGATAATTGATGATGTGAAGGAATTTCTGTTCATTTTTCTAGGTGTGATAATGGTATTCTGAATTTGTTTTGTTTTTAATTTTTATCTTTTAGAGAGACATACTACAGAACAAAATCACCTGGGAATTAAAAACTAATGTCCAGGTCCCACAGACATAACTGATCTGGTAGAAGGCCTGGACATCATTTTATTAAAACCGCCCCAGGTGATTCTAATGAGTAGCTAGGTTTCGTAAACCACTGACCCGGGACAAGTTATATCAACAGGATAAATAACTACCTAGTTATCAATCAAACTATGTTGTTAAAAGTACTCTTCTTGAAGACTGGAATCTGTATTTATTATTGGCATTAATGGTTAAAACTGACACCTCTGAATTCTATCATACTTATTTTTAAAGGATTTATAAAGATTTTAATCAAATAAATGTTTACTTAGCTCTCTAATTTACTTAGCTTCCTAAACTAAGCAAACTTTTCTTTGTTTCCTATACATACTGAACAAACCAGGAGCAAGGCTGGCAAAAGCCTTAAGTGTTGAGGCACAGGGCAATTAAGGCTTGTTTTAGTCTGTTTTGTGTTGCTATAACAGAAATACCTGAGACTGGGTAATTTATAAAGAACAGAGGTTTATTTGGCTTACGATTCTGGGACAGCTTCATCTGGCATGGGCCTCAGACTGCTTCTACTCATGGCAGAAAGTGGCATTTGTCAAGAACAAGCAGATCACATGGTAAGAGGAAACGAGAGAGAGAGAGAGAAGGTGCCAGGGTCTTTTTAAGTAAAGAGCTCTCGCGGGAACTAATAGAGCAAGAACTCACTCATTAATCCCCCCTCCCCCAGGGAGAGCATTAATCCATTCATGAGGGATCCGCCCCCATGACTCAATCAGTTTCCAGCACTGCCACATTGGAGATCAAATTTCCACATGAATTTTGGAGGGGACAACACATCCAAACTCCATCAGGGCTAGTAACAACTTATGATCTGTAAACATAATTACCAAGAGATTAATGAGAAAACATCTTCAGTAAAGCAACTGGAGTGGAGAGTTATAAATCTCAGAACCACAGAAGTAACTAAGGACACATAAGACAACTTCATTCCAATTCAGCCTTATTTCCCTTATCTCACTTTTTCAATACTCTTGTACATACCAATGCAGAAAGAAAAACGCTAAGAAATAATTAATCTCAGAGGAAAATAATCACTTTCAATCCTGAATAAACCTACCTCAGATAAAAAGATAATCAGAAAAGGCCAAATTAAATATATGTATATACATGAAGACTCAGGAAAAGAAGTTATCACTTTGAGCTTTTGTGTTTAGTTACCCATTCAGAAAGACTTTTTAGTCACAGATTGATATATTCCAAAATGCTTTTGAGATCAGGGAAAAGATAGCTACTTGCCACCAGAAGTTTAGGATTATGTTTCATCTGTTACCTTATGAACACCACTTTTTGAAAAGGTGTAATTCTTTAGGGCTGCAGTATAGAGAGCGTGAAAAAATTATTGTAGTAAGAGAACATATGGCTTTTTAGAGCAGTCCACTTAAGGAAAAAATGATGACCTCAGCTAACTTGGGTTTTCTACGGCTTGGGTTTTCCACCGCTGTATGTGGGAAGGAATAAACTTGAAGCCTGAAAGGGGAAGTTGGACAAGGAGGAAGAAAGTACACTGGGGAACATACAGGATATATTATTAGACAGGTAGAATACTGAGTAAGCAGGTTCCATCACTAGGACAGAATTAACAGCGAGGTAAGCAACTCAAAGACAGGATAGATGTTTTACAAATATTTGCTAACAACTATATGGTTATTAAAACTAAGTAAACACTTTGTTTAAATGGAATCTAGCTGGACTTGTAAGTCTGGTTTATTAAACCTTTTCTGGGCCTTTATTTTCCAGACCATTAATCTTTACAGGTATTCTCTAAAATGTTTTCTAGGTTTCTACTCCTCTACATTTGCTTAGAAAGACAAATATACAAAATGTTAACTAGATTTAGTTAAATCTAGATTTTATTTGGAAAAAAAATTCTTTTATATACTCAAAAGCACTGATGGTTTTCTATAAAAAGTATGTTATTTCAAAACTAATTCTTTCTCCTTAAACTTAGCTCTACAACCAAACAAATGTTAACTAGATTTAGTTAAATCTAGATTTTATTTGGAAAAAAAATTCTTTTATATACTTAAAAGCACTGATGGTTTTCTATAAAAAGTATGTTATTTCAAAACTAATTCTTTCTCCTTAAACTTAGCTCTACAACCAAACATGTTATTTCAAAACTAATTCTTTCTCCTTAAACTTAGCTCTACAACCAAACATACCATTTGAGAAAAGTGCATCTGATATAGTTTTCTTATTTAATGTTTCAGCCTCAACTCTTCTTTCAAATGTCTTAAGAATTTTGCTTTTTGTACTTTTTAATAACCTAAAAGTAATTTCTAGCAGACAACTCATAATTCAAGTCATTTTATAGATAAAGAAAAGATTAGTATATAGTGTCCTTGAGTAGAAAGGGGTATCTAATAATGGTATTAATCCAACATTTCTAGAAGGAAAAAAGAATCAGTGTATAATAAAATCACACAAAAAAGCACTATACACAATATTTTCCTCTATATTAAAGTCATTCACTGTTGTATACTTACAAGAAGTGGCAATAAGAACTTCTATCATTTAATATTACCACATTTATATACAATTTTTAGATCCCAAAAGTATTTTGATATTCCATTCAGCTTTTTATAGTGCTTTTCCTATAAAGGTCCAAGTGCTGTATATGGCTTTTGAATATGGCTTGTAAGTCACAAAGAAAAGTAAGAGAAAGAAAACTATTTCAAATACAAATATTAAAAATTTAATGTGATATTGTGGGATAGGCACTGCATGTCAAGAAACCTGTTTCTAATCTCAGTTATGCCCTAACCAGCCATGTGACTTCCTGTGATTCACTTAATTATGTTTCTTAAATTGTAAAGAAACTGGCTTTTACTCAATAATGTTCATCTTAAATATGGCTTTCTAAAAATCTACTACAATTAAAGTATTTTCAAATATTTATTTTAATAACAGCCCAATTAAATGTACGTCACTTTGCCATATGGAATTAGTCCTTCACTTTTGTCCCAATTTGACCTGAAACCTAGATCGCTTAGGCTGAACATTCAAGATGTATTTTGGAAGAAGGGGTACTGGGAAAGGATTCTTTTATAAGACTGGATGATGCTTAGCATGTTTAGGAGTTAAGCAATGAGTGTATACATATGGAGAAGATCTGGTCATTATTAAATCAGGAGCACTGAATTAAAAATCTGCTTCAGTAGGTGGGGTAGGTGTGGGTTGCAACAGAATTTAAGGGAGGCTTTAGGCTGAGCTGTCAGGCAATCACACCCTCCGGAACCCCTTATTCTCCCAGTGGGCACCAAACCAGTTTCCAGTTCCGGGTTCCCAACCAATCGCATCAAGCCACAACAGAGGGCTCTGCCAACCCGGGCACTGTATCACTGTTCTAGAGTGAGATTCACACTCCCAGCACCTGTCGGCCTCCCACCCTTCCCAAACGAAGGGGGTGGGAGAGAACACTAGGTCTACGCTCCGTCCTTTCCGATTCAGGCTACCACCAGGTCCAGGAGCCCTCGAAAGGGTTCTGTACCCAGGATAGCGGGAGCTCCTCCGCCGCGACCCTCCCACGTATCACTCTCCCAGGACTAATTCTCCCGTTTGCAGGTCCAACTCCCGACTGTGGTTTTTCAGGCCTCGGGGACCCCGGGCTTGGGAAGCGGACAGAAGGATGGCACGAGTGAAGACAGCGGGGGAGGGTGCATTCCTCCCCACCAGAGGAAAAGATAGGAAAGCAGGGGCAGGGGCAGCAGTGTTCCCCTTCGGCGAGGGCGGGAGGCCGTCCGTGCGCCTGTCGAAGGGTCTGTCATTCCCTCACTCACCAGGAGCAGCAGGGAGCATCTGAGGTCGGGTAAGGATAGGAAGACGACAGGATTCATGGTAACGCTGGAGTCCGCGGCAGGGACAGACGTTGGCGGCTAGGACTGGGCTGGGTTGAGTTGGGTTAGGAAAGGGCTGGGCTCCGGGAGCCGGAGGCAGCGGAGGAATCTCCCAGCAGCTGCACCTCGTCCTCTCGACCCGGAGCTCCAGCCGCGAACACCCGGGACAACTTCCAGAGAGGCCTCGCACATCCTCACTTCCGGGTCCTGCCCACCTCGGAGTTCGTCGGGAAATGTAGTCCTGCGCCACTCTCGCCGAGCCCGCCATCGGTCATCTTGAACTCCTTTTCCCAATAGGCTCTCGGCCCAGGTCCTCCAAGTACCTGCGCGCGGGGCCCTGTGGGATGGAAAGGGCGGAGAGCGGTGTCTGCGTTTCCGCGGATTAGGAACTACAATTCCCAGAAGGCTGTGCGGTCGAGCGCCTCGGGCGGCCTCCTGAGGGGTTCTGCTAAACATCAGCGCTGCAGGATCTTACCCTGCGGGGTGTAGGGTCCTAGCCTGGCGGGAGGGGCGCCCCGGTGGGGGTCGTGCCTCCTGGAGCCGCCCCCGGGACGTCAGTCCTGGAGGAGGCGAGGGTGAGTAGGAGGGGGCCTGGCTTGGGAAGCTCGGATCGGTCAGTCTGCGCGACCCTGGCCCCTGCCGTCGACTCACGGCCCTCCTGTCCCGGCCTGTGGCCTGAGCTTCCATCACTGGCCTCCTAGCCTGCTACCTCTTCTTTCTGTACTAATTCCTGCATGATAAAGTTGGAACCACCTCTCAGGGCCTCAGTTGAATAAATCAGTGACTTATCCCTATGTCTCTGAGGGCTCGTATAAGGAGTAGATATGGTAAGGGATGAGAAAGCACGTTGTAAATTGAAAATCTCTGTGCGAGAGTGAATTCTACTAAGGCGTGGATCATTCCTACAGGATAATTACGAAATTCCTTAGCCAAGCAATCGAGAATCTTAGACGGGCCCCAGGTAGCTCTCCAGCATCTTCTTGCAAACACCCAGCCTGGTCCACGCTCCGCAAAGGATAGCCTGACAACCACTACTAAGTATTAAGGAGGCACTGTGCATTTTTGTGGTTCTCCCTATTCCCTGCCTTGGCTCCAGCTGTCCTGCTGCCTGGAATGGCCTTACACCCTTCTCTTTCTGGAATGCCATCTCAAATGTCACCATCTCTGAGATCTTCCCGAACAAGTAACCCTTTAGTCCTAATCAGAATTACTCTTCCTTTGCATGTGACTACTGCACCACTAGTTCTGTACAGTTATAACTATTTTTTTATTACTGTGGCTTGTTCTATAATTAGTTAAGGATGATGATACCTTTGCCTTTTATAGCACTTTGACAAAGTGGTTTTGATTTTCGTCTATAAAAAAATGATTTATAAAAAAAAAAGCACAAAAAAATACACTTGTGCTAAAAAGAACCCTAAACAATGGCTTTCCAGCATGACAAAATTAGATAGTGACAGAGCCAATACTCTTACTTAGGTCTCCTGACTCCTACGACTATGAACAGATCAGAGAACTTATTCGTTTCTAGTTCCTCATTAGCATCCCAAGTTCATGCTGCTGCTGTTAATGGAGATAAGGGTGCTCTTCAGAGGCTCATCATAGGTAAGCAGTCCCTTTAAATGCAGAAAATTTAAAAATAATTCTTTGTTCTAAGGAAGTTTGTTAATCTTAATTTTAATTTGCAAAGTACTTATACACTTTAATGGAAATATATTATTATTTATATTTTATTCCAAGAATTGGACAAGAAAGAAATCAAGACCTAAAACTTTAAAAATATGGATTAGGATTAGGTGAAAAGTACTTGAGAAATTTCTATGTATTATACACTGAATCTAAATATGTATTCGAAGGTGCAAAGGAAATTAGTTCATCTTTATAATAACGGAGATCTAGAATGAAGTGGTGGATAATGATCTTTTAACATTCAATATATACCTGAAGTACTAAAGTTTACGATATAAGATATAAAAATTATATAGTATAAAAATATTAATTTTTAATAATTTGAAATTGATTCAAAGTTTTCCCTGTCATTTATATGTACAAATTATATATAGAAGTTCAATGTAATCTATCTAGTCCTGGTAAGCCCCGAGCAGTTGAACTCCAGTTGAAAGATTGATAGCAACCCAAATTCATGATTACCCACTTCAAGTAGGCACTGGACACTTACTGATCATCTTAACGCATTTCTTCCTAATAAATGTTTCATACCTTCTCATACAACCTAAACCTCTGACAGCCAATAGCCCTCCCTCCATTCTCAGATAATGCATTATGCTTTCCTAGAGAAAATGAAGACAATAAATAGGAACTCCCTCATCTTTTAGCATGATATCTACAAATCTACCTACATCTGCACCCATCTTCCTCTATTTTCCTGCTAAAACAGAGCAAAGATCCTGCTTTCTGTCAAAGAGCAGCTCTTCCATACATGTTCTGTCCCCTCCTGTCTTCTCAAAGACCTTGCTCCATTTTTTTTTTTACCTCTGATTATGACGTCTTCAACCTTTTCTTCTCTTCTAAATTCTTCCCATTAACATTTAAACATGTTCCTTTGTCTCCATTATTTAAAAATCCTTTCCATGCTCCTTCATCCCTCTTTAGGTATTGCCATATGTCTCAACTTTCCTTCACCACTGTATTAGTGCGCAGGCTAAACTGCTACAAGATAGAAGTATATTTCATCTTCATAACAGTACAAAGATATTTGGGCACTGTAGGGTGCATAAACATCTCTGCTTACAGAATCACCCAGGGATGCTGCTGGGGCTGCTCTACCATTCTCAATATGTGGCTTACATCTCTTAGTCAATGGCAAATACTTCTGTTGCAGTCATAGCCCAGTCAGCGGGAAGGGAGAAGGAGGTGCAGGCAAAGTAGTATGTCATGAAGGATAAGGACTGGACTTAGTTAGACATACAGCCACCCCTAGGACAAAAGAGGCCTAAAAAAGTCTTTTCCTGGATGGTGTCATGCTCAGTTAAAGCTCAAGGTGTTCAATTCCTAAAAAGAATGACAGAATGGATAGGGGGTCAATTATCACTCTCTATCACCAAAACCAAAGACACGTGCATCCATTGTCCCCACCTCTTTATCTCAATCTACTCTTTTATTAAAAGAAAACGAAATACACTTCCTTATTTTGAAGTATATACATAGAGAAGTGCACACAACTCATATGTACAATTTAACAAATAAGCATCCATGTAATCACCACTTGGGTCAAAGAACAGAACATTTGTCAGTACCCCAGGAACCCCTAATGCATCCTCCTCCCCCACCCAGAGGACTTTGCTATCTTAACTTTTATAATAATCATTACATTGTAGTTTTACCACTTAAATATACATCCTTAAACACTATAGTGTCCTTTTGCCTTTTTTTTTTTTTTTTTTTTTTTTTTTTTTTTTTTTTCTTTTTC